CTAGGAGTGAGTCACACACACACAAAAAGCTTTAGCTTTTGGCTTCCAGCTAGTTGCTAGTAAAGTCCTGAGTATCTAAATCTAATGTATTAGCCTTTGCCGATCACCTGGGAAAAAAAGACTTTGAACTAGTAGATAAAGCAACTTTTACAGTAATCATACATGACACATCTTAGTTATTTCCACTTAAATACCAACAAGAAAATTATTTGGTTGAAATCATGCCAATGTGTTCTTGATCTTAAATTTTAGCAAATAACAAAATCCATATAACAGTTTCTGAAGGAATGTCAGCAAAACCAGTAAAGTAAGAGAAATGTCCACACTTTCACATAATGGCCAATGTCAGAGGAGAAACATGCTGCGAAACTGTCTAAATGACAGTAATAATATTCATAGTACACTGTGTTCTATGTAAGCATACTACATACTACTGTAATATGACATAGTAGAAAATGTACACAGGGAGGACAATAATTGGCCTAAGATGCAAGACATTGAAACATATGCTAGATTGTGTTAAAAATAAGATGCTTGCTAGAATAACTAATTTGGTCACTTTTTTTTAATTGCCATATTAACATCCCCCAAAACCAATGAAATATAAGCTATGGGAACCTATGTTATTCTTCATTATTGCTAAAATCTCTTTCAACAACAGAAATTAGTTATCAGTATATGAAACAAATGAGCTCATTAGCCCAGAAGCACTGATTATTCAGGCAAACCAGGAGATCTGGGTAACACTCTCAAGACATTTATCAGTGACCCGCACATGGTTGTGTTGAAGATGGTGATTTCAATGCTTATCCTATCTTACCTCATCAAGTTTCATAAGACTTTCTGAAACAAGTGTTAATCTATGCAGTTCTGCTTCTACATACTTCTGATCTATCTTTCCTGAATCCGCCCTACCCCTCCTTTCTAATTCTTAGTAGTCTGGGAATCTGAGGGCCTTAGATATACACATATTAGCAAACAAAGTAAATGCATCAAATGCATCCAGATGATGCAACATATACTTAAATTTGGTTTCAAACTACAGGCCATTTAATCAGTCTGGAGGTGACATTAGCAACAGCTCATACTTAGATTTAATTGGGGGGATTACACTTAGAATTGACAACACTGCTCACCTTTAGGACAGAGGCTAAGCTGGTCATGTGCTCATTGAGGGCACCCTCAGACTCCTTGTAGGTCAAGCAGGTGAACTGGTACTCCTCAGGATCAAAGGCATCGGCCCCCTGCTGCTCCACATCGCTGGCTACTCCCACGTAATAGTCCTCTATGTCCCCAGGGTCTTCATCCTCTTCCTCCTCCTCACAATTTGGGTCATAGTCCTCTTCATTGCTGTCAGACCCCTGGCTATTCATGTCCACAGACATCTTAACATCCAGCCAAGTTGCAGATCAGGAAAGCAGTATTCTCCCCTCCCCCCAAACTTTACCACGTTCTCAAATGCATTAGTGTTTTTGTCTTCTAAGGGAGGAAAAGAAAAAAATAAGTGTTACTTACTTTCACTATAGGAAGTTGTAACAGAAATCACTGAAGAATTAAAATGGCATAACCCTGGTCCTACCCCCACTATGGCCTATTCCAGCTCTCCTCTCATACTTCACCATCATCACCCGGCTTAGGCTTTTTAAAGAAAACCCTTTCCTGGAGGGGCAGAAGCAGCTAATGATGGTAAATTTGCATCATCTGTTCCATGTCAAGGAGTCAAATTCCTTGGACTTATCCTTCCTGCCAGAGTCCTTGAGAAAGAAGCACATCCCCACAGCTGGCTGCCCAAAGGGGAAGCAACCTACAGGCTGAACTACCAAAGTTTAAAATCTCTTAGCTAATCATGACTCACTGAGTGGTGACACAGACAAACAGGGACACAATTCCTTTCCACTATAATATCTAGGGAAAGAATACCACTGTTTTAGAGACATCGCCCTCAGATATCTGGAAAACAGGTACATAGTTAGGAAAGAAAAAATAAAATCACACAGCTCTTGAACATCCTCCTCTAGTCTGCAAAGTTAACTAATTTTTCCATTTTAAAGGTTTCTACTGATCCTTTAACAGGGGTACTTAGAGGCAAAGAAACTGATTCAACAGCGAAGGAAAACTATAGATATTCGGCTTTAGCAGGATGAAGGCTAGGGAAAACCAGAATCTATTTAGGGTGAAGAAACAAGAGATCAAATGGAACCAGCTACTGAAAAATCCTCACAGATCAAAATGTTACTCAATTACATATAAATGAAAACAGAACACTAGCTGAGAAAGCAAAACAGTCACAAGTGCTAACTTCATCTCAGAGAATACTTTGGCAAATACCTATTAACTTCTCTGCACAAATCTGCACAAGTACTAGTTCAAGCGATCATTTGCAAGGAACAGTATCATATAGTGATTTAAATCCAAACTAATAGGACCTTAAAATGCAACAGCATTTGGACTGAATGATATGTAAATGACTTACATAACCAAATCTGGATTAAATATTCAAGTAAATTTAAAATCCATTTGAAGTAGAGAATCTCTCCAAAAAAAAAGTCAACTATAATTAAAACAAAGATTAAAAATGGATGTGTACTAAATATGTAACCAGTCTAAAGGACTACAAAGCCACATTTTAATGGTATTACTAAAATACCAGTGACTCCAAGCCTGATATATTATCTATAAATGCTCAAGTTGTTTTTAAAAAGTCACAGTAATGAAAGGGCAGTAATATTACTTGCAGTTTGACTTTCAATAAATTGTTTTGTATGATAAAACCATATAATCACAACTAAACTTAATTATAGTATTTTTCCTTTAGGACAAAGTTAATCTTTAAATTAAAAATACCTGTAATTCTTGAAGATCTTTCAGGAAGATGTCACCAAATAGTCTTTGTCATATAATTTCCATCTAAAATGAAAAGAGATAATTCTATTTATATATCTTTAAATTGGTACCCTGAGTTTGCAAATTTATTTTTCAAAAACCAAAGACATTCAAAAGGACAAGGAGCAAGGGACCAGAAATTATTTTCTTATAAGTCCCACAGAAATCCATACGTCATAATTATATATTATATATTGACAAGAGTTACATGGTCTTCTAAAAAAGGGAAGTATCCAAAGTAAGCAGCTGACAATAATATAACCTGGGGTACTGGTTATAGAAATGGATACCCAGTTTCCTCCGTCAGTTTAAAAGCCCACCACCTTACTCTTACCGTTCCGATATTCTAAATTAACTATCACAATTTCAATCCTAAATGTTACATAGAGGTTGACATCACAAATTGTAACTGACTTAAACTAGACTTTTACTATAAAGTCATCTAAACTGCGGTAATCTAACACTTTCAGAATACTACCAATATTTCAGATCTCACTTTACTCATGAAAAAATTATTTTCAAATAAAAAAAAGTCCCCAATAGAATGTCCACTGGGCAATACTGATACCATTTTCCACCTCTTTTCTGATATGCTCAAGGGCCATCTGACTTTCTCAGTTACAGATCCCACTAACCAAGACTAAATAAGTACTACTTGCTTACTCAATTAGAAATTTTATGTTCATTTCTTTATCCTTTTGAATTTCTTGGAAAACCAGAGCTTTTAACTTTCAAAAGTACTTCATAGACAGGAAAATATAAACTAAATGAATATCAAAGTCCAAACAATGATTATGGAAGATGATTTCCAAAACAGTTGCAGAAGAATTGATTCTTCCAATCTTTTTTCTTTTAACTGTATTTCTATGTAAAATATTGCTTATTGGCCAAATATGCATAAATAGCATTATAAATATTGCTCCCATCTACAAAATATCACTACCAATAGCTTTCATGTAACGAGAGCCAATGTCAGGTCAGACTCATTCTCATTAAATGTTTATAACCCTGTAAAATTGGCTATCATTCTCTTCTTACAAATGAGGAATGTAGAGTTCAAAAAGATTAAGTACCAGAACCACACTGCTGGCAACCAGTAGAGCCCAGCATCATACTTTCACCAGATCCATGGCCTAAGGATTCATAACTCCCCATCACCCTCCCAGGGAGCCTAATACTATCCACAAAGCTACCTCCAGAATAACAACAAAAGAGCATGCTTTTCACTTTCTCTGAATTTCTCCTCAGGATTTGGGCTTACAGGTTGCCCAAAGGCTTCTCACCAACTAAATATCAAGAAGCAGGGGAAAACTTCATGCTCCCTTCCAAAAAGGAGACTGTCATTTCATGCTTATTGGGTGTTCTAGGTCCAGATTTAAATAAAACCTTAACTTTTAATTCTTTCAAAGTTAGAATATCCTTATTCTACTTGAAAGAGTACTGACACTGCTTAAAGGGGCCAGTATGTTGCTGCCTAAAAGAACTGATGAGAATGCTTTGCTTTCCTTCGGATGTTAAATATTATTCCTACATCCCGAACAGAAAAAGAGTAACAGAAATAACTCCTCCCGCCCGGCCTGGTCAAAGTCAAGTGTTCGTAAGACCTGACACCCACCACAGGCTACAGAAGCCAAACTTAAGACCTCTCAGTTTAAAGTTGACAACAACAAAACACGGACTTTTTGGTGGGTCTGACAATGTTTACTCCAGATATAATAAATAAAACTGGTCATTTACTAAGTCTACATCTCCGAAGAAAACTGCTTTGCACAAAATATAAACCAGCAACTTAGTTTCAAAACCCTACACTAGACCTGCCCTGTTCAATACGGTAGCCACTAACCACATGAGATTATTTAAATTTAACTCAACTTAAAAATTAAATAAAACTTAACATTTCAGTCGCACTAACCATAAGTCAAATACTCAAGGGCCAAGTGTGGCTAGTGGCTACCCTGCTTAGCAGCAAAGGCACAGAATATGACTACTGTGGCAGAAAGTTCTATGGGACAGAGCAACGATCAGTACTGAGGTGAAGTCATCCGAGAACACGGTTGCCTCTCCCGGCGGCTAGCACAGGAGTGTCCGGAGAGGCGGCGGCGCTGCTCCTGGGCCGCATGTCCCGTCTGAAGCGACGGGATATCCTAGAGCACACGGAGTCCACGCGCTGCGAGACCCTTCACCGGCGGGCGTTAACTAACCGCGCAAGCGGCATTGCGAGAACTCCCAATGATGACTCGAGTGGGGAGGCGCGGCGTTTCCCCGGGGCTCCGGGCACGGAGGGCCCAGATGCGCCAGCGCCAGTCGGCCAGAGGCGCTGGCCTCCGACCTCTCCGCGGGAGGCGGGAGGAGGAAAAACAGACGCCAGGCGCCGGCTCGCCCTTGTCGCAGCCTTTAGCTGGTCCTCGGCGGGTGGCGGAGGGCGCTTAGACTGTGTATGGGCTGCCGGGGGCGCAGGGACCTCGCGGGCAGCGACGAAGGCGGAGCCCCAGCCGAGCTAGGGAGGCGCGCGGTGAGTTCACCCCCTCCCCCCAATTGCCAGGGTAAACAAGGCCGCGACTCGCGCACCGCACTTACCGGGAGCCGCGGCCCCGCGGCCGCTGAGCCCAGGCGTGCCGGACCGAGTCTGGCCAGGCCGGAAGAATCGGACACAGGCACGGTGGCGACGGAGGCGGCGGGCCAACGCCGGTGCAGGCCCGCGCTGCTTCCTCCGGCGGAGCCGTCTCCACAGCTCCGGAAGTGCTCAGAGCGGTTGCGTCACTTCCGGCCTGGGGTCGACCCGCGGTCGCCGGGGTCGCGGCAGGCGCTGGGTATTAACGCCCCTCCCGTGACGCTTCACTGCAGCCCAGCGAAGTGACCCAGAGTTAACTCAGCGCAGGGCAAACGCCGACGACTGCGGGAGGCAGCAGAGGAGAAAGTTCGGCTTATTGGAGAGTGGTCAAGGCATCTCTTTTGGCTTTCGCCTACCAGCGCCGCCCGCCGGGATATTTTAAACCAGCGTTTTTCTGACAGACTCCTTCACGTCACTGTTTGTGCTCGGTGTCCGGCACGGAGAAGACATCCTGACATTCGTGGAGTGAATAAAAGACTGTTGTTTCCCAGCCTCTATCTTGTCGAAGGAGAGCTGGGTCTTCGGATCATCGCGGCGGGCGGAGAATTTCTGCCTACGTTCCGAGGCCATTGACAGATGGCCCCTAATTCAGAGATCCACGCCCGTCTTCCGCTTCCCTCTCCACTGCCTAGTTTGCCGCCTAATTCTATGGTTTCCCGTTCACTCAAGATTGAATGTAGCACAGTTTCTTCAAACAGTATGGGAAGTGCCTTTATGATTTTCAGTACTTTCATCAAGTATTATGGATCGACAGAGCCACGAAGCCTCACTCAAGTTGCTGCGGCACAACAGTGGAAACGCCAGTGTAAAGCCAGAGATGTTAGGGAGCCTCCTGGCTGTGCACGTCCGTAGACAACCCAAACCATTTCCACCCATATACGAGTAGTTATATACTGATATTCAAGATATCGATGTGTAACTGGCTCTTTTATTTTTAGTTCTGCTTGCATGTATTCGTGTATTTCTTATACAGGGTATAAGCTTCCAGTTTAACTCAGAGCATGTAACCCAAATCAAGTGCATTTAAATACTAGAAAGTCCCAAATTAACTTGGAGTGAAAATTAATAGAAATGAGTGAGTAACATATTGCAAGGTTATGAATTTTATATATCAGCAACGTGAAAGTCTATAATCCAGTGTACTTATTTGTTTTGGCAAAACATATCCCTTTACATCATGATGTAAAATATTTTTGTTTTTATTGTTGAGGTCTTAATCCACCCAGAATTTGTTTGGTAGGATGTGTAGAGAATCTAGTTTTATATTTTCTAATTTGATAGTCAGTTGCCCCAACACCATTTATTGAATAGACCAACATCTTTAATCCACTTTTATCACACAAGCACTTCTATCATGGTCTAAATTCCCATGTATACATGGATCTGGAGTCTCAGTTGTATTTGAGGGTCTGTTTGCCTAGTCCAACTCTAATACAGAGTTTTAATTAGAGCTAAATGGTTTGTTTTTGATATACGGTAGAACAAGTTATCCTTATGATCTTTTAAAAAATTTCTTAGCCAAGATCATACAATTTTTCTTTTGTATAAAACTTAGATTCAGGTTGACGTTTCATTTTTGAAAACCCACTGAAGAGCATTGAATTTCTAAGAATAACTTAAGGATAGTACTGATATCCTCAATACTGAGTTCTTGTATCCAAGGAATATAATATATCTTTACACTTACTTTATTTTTATTTTATGTATTTGAATTTTATAGCTTTATTCATGTGGATCTTTGGTTTAGTACTGCATATATTATGGGTTTCATTATTATTTTGAGGATTCTTTTTTTCATGGTCTCTAGTTATTGTTAGTTTATTGAAAAGCTATTTTTTTTTGTATGTTTGTTTCTTTAATGGAGGTACTTAGGATTGAACCCAGGACCTTGTGCATGCTAAGCGCATGCTTTACCACTGAGCTATACCCTCCCCCCCTCTTGAATTTTCTTTTCTTTCTTTCTTTCTTTTTCTTTTTTAATATTTCCAGAGAAAATTTTTATTCTCAATTCCCAAATTGGTATATTTCCAGTCACCTAAAAGTTCTTTTTTTCCTCATTTAACATTTTTTGAGTTATAATCATTTTACAATGTTGTGTCAAATTCCAGTGTAAAGCACAATTTTTCAGTTATACATGAACATATATATATTCATTGTCACATTTTTTTTCTCTGTGAGCTACCATAAGATCTTGTATGTATTTCCCTGTGCTATACAGTATAATCTTGTTTATCTATTCTACATTTTGAAATCCCAGTCTGTCCCTTTCTACCCCCCACCTCCTTGGCAACCACAAGTTTGTATTCTATGTCTGTGAGTCAGTTTCTGTTTTGTATTTATGTTTTGTTTTGTTTTTTATATTTCACATATGAGTGATCTCATATGGTATTTTTGTTTCTCTTTCCAGCTGACTTCACTTAGAATGACATTCTCCAGGAACATCCATGTTGCTGCAAATGGCGTTATGTTGTCAGTTTTTATGGCTGAATAGTATTCCATTGTATAAATATACCACATCATCTTTATCCAGTCATCTGTTGATGGACATTTAGGCTGTTTTCATGTCTTGGCTATTATAAATAGTGCTGCTATGAACACTGAGGTGCAGGTGTCATTTTGAAGCAGGGTTCCTTCTGGATATATGCCCAGGAGTGGGATTCCTGGGTCATATGGTAAGTCTATTCCTAGTCTTTTGAGGAATCTCCATACTGTTTTCCACAGTGGCTGCAACAAACTGCATTCCCACCAGCAGTGTAGGAGGGTTCCCTTTTCTCTACAGCCTCTCCAGCATTTGTCATTTGTGGATTTTTGAATGATGGCCATTCTGATTGGCGTGAGGTGATACCTCATTGTAGTTTTGATTTGCATTTCTCTGTTAATTAGTGATATTAATTAGTGATATTGAACATCTTTTCATGTGCCTATTGATCATTTGTATTTCTTCCTTGGAGAATTGCTTGTTTAGATACTTTGCCCATTTTTGGATTGGGTTGTTTGTTTTTTTCTTATTAAGTCGTATGAGCTGCTTATATATTCTGGAGATCAAGCCTTTGTTGGTTTCACTTGCAAAAATCTTCTCCCATTCTGTAGGTTGTCGTTTTGTTTTACGTATGGTTTCCTTTGCTGTGCAGGAGCTTGTACGTTTATTTAGGTCCCATTTGTTTATTCTTGCTTTTATTTGTATTCCTTGGGTAGACTGTCCTAGGAGAACATTTTTGAGATGCATGTCAGATAATGCTTTGCCTATATTTTCTTCTAGGAAGTTTATTGTATCTTGTCTTGTGTTTAAGCACATGCTTTACCACTGAGCTATACCCTCCCCTGTCTCTTGAATTTTCAAAGTAAGCATTTGGATCCCTTAAAAATAGTGATATTTTGAACTCGATTTTTAGTATTAAATTTTTAAATTTATTCTTTCTTCTGTTTCTTTTCTCCCTCCTTTTTTTTCCCCACCTCCTTCTTTCCTTCTTTCTTTATTCCTTACTTTCCTACTTCTTTCCCTCCCTCCCTTCCTATTGGTCTTTTTGCATTAGCTACCATGTCCAGTAAAACTTTCAGCAGTAATCATGATTTAAAACATCTTTACCTTTGTTCCTGTCATTAATAGGAAGCTTTCTAATATTTTACTATTACATACTTTTGCTAAGAAAAATATGATAGTTACTAGTTTGCTTTAAAAAAAAAAGGTAGTTACTCTTTATCCATTACAAGGGAGTTTACTTCAAATCTTAAGTTTACAGTTTTATATTCTTTCCTTTTTATTTTATCTAGTTTTTAATAAGGAATGATGTTGAATACTACTATTGCAGTCTGGACTCCCTAGAAGCAAATGTTGAGATGGAGCTTAGAAAGCAAGATATTTATTAGGGACCAACATATGTAAAGGGAAGGGGCAGGAAGCAGAACTGGGCAGAGGTAGGATTTAAACTGCAGGCCAAATGACGCTGCCAACAACCCAGCAGAGAGCACTGGAGTGAATACTGCCTGTCAGAGTGCCTTATACCAAGCCAGACTGGCCTGGCATGAAATCCCTACCTTGCTTAGTCACTGGGTATGGGCTTTCTTGGGAAGGGTGTAACCTAAGGGGAGTTAGTTCTCTGACGCTGAGGCACATCCTGAAGGACTGAGAGCTGAAGGCTGTCAGCTGCCATGTGCCCCGCAGCTGTGTAGCCAGGCCTTCCTTGAAGGAGGTTCTAGGAGGCACAACTCCATGTGTACCACAAATATCACATGCTTTTTAGCATTTACTGAGATGATCATAGGATCTTCATCCATTACTGTTAGTGTCCTGATCACATTATGAGATTGGCTGATTTTAAACTATGCTTGGTCAAAATACCTTATCCATTTAAAACTGCTGGGATTGATTTGCTAATATTTGCTAATAAAGTAAAATTACTTTTAATATTTTTGTATTCATATGTTGAGTGACAGTGGTCTCTGGTTTCCTTTTTGTATGTGAATGCCATCCTTATCTGATTCTGGCATCAGTGTTATGCCATAGCCTCTAAAAGTTAGAAATGAGTAATGCCTGAAAATTTGCCACACTGCATATAGATGTCTTTTTTATTCATCCTGCTTGGTATTTACCAGCCCTCTTTACATGAAAGTTTTGCATTTCCTATATGAGATATTTTTGTCTCTATTTCTTTGATTATGTTCTTCTCTCCTTACTCTCCATCTTTTCTTAGTGGAACTCCTTATTAGAGAGGTGTTGGAACTTCAGCATCTATCTTCTGTCCCACAGTTTCTCAGTTTCTCTTTTATTTTTCAGGCTTTCTTTTTTCATTCTGTCTTTTTAAAAATCCAATCATCTGGGTTTTTTTCTTTTTTTAATTGAAGTATAGTCAGTTTATAATGTATCGATTTCTGGTGTACAGCATAATGTTTTAGTCAAACATATACATATGTATATTCTTTTTCACATTCTTTTTAATTATAGGCTACTATAAGACATTGAGTATAGTTCCCTTTGCTATATAGCAGAAACTTGTTTATCTTCATTCTGTCTTTTTAAGAGAATTTATCAGGTTGATCAGTCAGCTTTCTCTTTTGATTTCTAGGAGTGCCTATGCTTTAATTCCAGTCACCTGTGGAATATTTTTAGAATTTTATTTCTTATGGGTTGTTTTTTTCCTGGACACAATTTACCTTCAGGTGTACATTTTGAGTTTGAGATCCCTGTGGGGAGCTAGAGAGACAGCGTTGAAGTCCATGAGAAAAATAGAGATTGGGGAGATTTCAGCCCAGATTTGGAATTTGAGGCCAGGAGGAAAGAAGGAAAGAAGAAAAGACATTGGAAAAATTAATCTCTCTTATTCATGCTTGACACCCAGGATTTAGGAACAAGGCTTCTCATCTGAGGTTCAAGAATGGCATTAAATTCTCATGAAATTGATAGCAAACCTGGAAGTGCATATGCATATGTGCACTTTCCTGGAATTCTTTACCCTTAAAATGGCTAAGAACCACTGGGTAGACAATGTCTAGAATACGGGCAGCCTGGTATATCTCTCCTGCATCAGTGTGTTATGGAGTGGGGAGAGGAAGGAAACTCTATGCTAAAGGGGACAGTGTATGTAAAGGGGACAGTGGGAAGGGGTCTGTTAAGTAACAGGTCTGTGTGGTAACCCAGGAGAAGCTCAATTTGCTCAGAGAGGAAGATGCAGTCTACGGAATAACAAGGTTGAATAAATAAGCTAGCATGAAATTATGAAAAGCCTTGACTGCCCTTTAACCACTTATATATTTTTTATTATTATTATTATTATTATTATTATTATTATTATTATTATCATTATCATCATCATCATCATCATCATCATCATCATCATCATCATCATCATCATCATCCTTACATATTATTCTGAGCAGCTGAGTAGGTTTTCTGGCCAGGGAATGACTTAGCCAAATTAAATTTCAGGTAAGTTTTCTAACTGTGTGTAAGGCTTATCAGATGAGGAAGTAGGAAGACCATTGGTTTAGTGGATTATCAGTTACCCTATGAGGATTTAATAGAACCTGGTAGGTTTGTATGGAGTCCACATTCAGGTCTGTCATGGAGGTATCCAGGTTTACCAGGAGAGTTTACCAGAAGAGCTGTTCTATAACAAACACCATCTCTTCTTGAAGCTGCTCTGAGTGCAGACTGACTCTAAAATTGTTCCTCTTTTGCAGCTGGAACACTACAGGTCATATATGAGATAAACAAGGTCCCATTACCAAACCTTAAATCTTGGATTTTCTGTCTAATAAAACTCCTGAGGCCAATCCAGTGGTGAATACAGAGTTTTTCAAACCAGAAGTGTTCAGTAAATGAGTGGCCTGGATACTGACCCAGTCCTGCCCTCTCATGGTGAGATAAGTAGGATTATGGTAGGGGAGGGGGTGGACATAATCTGTGGGACACAAAGATGACAGTGTTCCCTGGGGTAGGAAGTCAGGAGAAAACCTCAGGCCTCCTCAGGAGCTCACAACCTGCTTTGTACCTGAGCTCTCTCCTAACAGGTCTTTCTTGTTCCAAAGTCTGAGATTCTTCCCCTCAGCCATACTGATGCCCTTTAAGGACAGGCACCCACTTTATAACTCACCCAACTACACTCAACTTTTTAAGCACCTACAGTGTGTCATGTGTTATACAACAGTCTTTTGTATTTTATATTTGTGAGCTGTCTCCTTGCTTAGCTTGAACACTTTTCCTTCTCTCTTGGAGATTCTTAACA